GCTACGGCCAGAGCTGCTGCCTCATCGAGGACGGCGAGCGCTGCGTCCGGCCGGCGGGCAACGCCTCCTTCAGCAAGAGGGTCCAGAAGAGCATCTCGCAGAAGAAACTCAAGCTGGACATCGACAAGAGCGTGAGTCCCCCGGTCCCCGGCTGGGCCCCCGCGCCCGATCGCGCCCGGCCGCTGCCCCCGAACTACGGGCGGGACTCAGGAGCCTCCCGGTCCTGGGCCTCGCCGCCCTTTATCTGCAGAGGAGGAGTTGGACTCGGGATTTCAAAGGCCGCTTCAGCGCTGATCTGTTCCCACTAGGATTCTGCCCAGATCCGGGAGGTTAGGCGAGGGGCTCCGAGGACCCTTCCTGCCTGGGAAGATTGACAAGTTTTTAGCTCGTTTAATTGGTTTGGATATCCGAGCAGGGAGAGAAGGGTTCATTGCGTTGGCCCACGAAGGAGCAAGTATTGGGGAGGTGGTGGTGAAGGCACCGGCTCTTCTCCAACTTCTCAGAGTCCTGTTATTCCTGCAGAAAAGGAGAGGTGACAGTTACTTCCCTGTTTGCAGCTTCTGTAAAGGGTCACCGAGCTCACTGCCTCGCAGGCAGCTGTAGGGAAAAGGGATTTTCTAGCATGAGGTTAGAAATAAGGCCAAGACCAGGTCTTGGGAGGTGGCTCTTGCAGTCGCAGTGACTGGAAGGAAGAAAATCAATTTTCTCAGGGATAACTTCTTTAGAAGTCTCCAGTAGGAGGATTTTGTTTTGTTTTTTTAGTTTGAATAGAATTGCCCTGTGTTTTTGTGCCTAACTATAGGAAAACTTTTCCTATGTGATTTCATATATTGCAGTTAATTCTAAAGCTGTGCCTATTGTCAACCAATTAGGAACGTTTTAGTTTTACATCTGTTGCTGCAGCCTCTTGATTAGGAATTGGAAATGAGTTAAGGGGTTATTTAATGTCCAGGTAGACCAGCTAACATCCATTCTCTTTTAGGAACAAAGATTGTCCATTGTTGGGGGAAATCAGAGTGCTTGTTAAACTGAAAGGACTCCCATTTTTCCACTTCTGATTTTACAGTTGAAACTGAGGCCTAGAGATAGGCAGTGACAGCGCCAAAGTCACACAGCACCTAACAGGCTGGTTAATTTCTTAACCCCATTATCTGATTTACTACCAAGCCCCATGCATAAGCCTTGATTAAGTCTTTAATAAATAAAAAATTTGCCCTGCCTTCTCTTCCCTCCCAGCCCCAATTTTTTAAAGTTAATTATAATTTACAACCCTTGAATGGAAAGGTGCTATTTTAAAATGGTTGAGGGTGGGTTAAGGGCTTTCTTATTACAAACCTCTATCAATCAATGAATGAATGAATGAATGAATGAGAGCAAACAACTGGCCAGATGCTAAGATGGTCCAGATTAGGACACATGTTGAAGTGAAATGCTTAATTCTAAGACAGCAATGAACTCAGCCTCTTGAAAACAGTGCCTACATTCTGTGTAGGTTGTTGGGAGCCTTTACTTGAGCAGCCTATGATAATTTCCAGTCCTTAAAAGAAGGAAATTTCCAGTTCTTTTAAACCCTTGGGTGCTGTCACATCTGAATGATGGTGCTGCTGCAATTGGGGCTCCAGTTCCCTGGTGACCCCTCTGGAAAAACCTATGTTGAACCATGTTGATAGTTTCACACACACTGTCTAAAAGAGATGCAGTCTAAGCCCGGCACTGGAGTTCCCAAAAGGCAGTGCTTCTGAAGGAGTAGGTTTCCAGGTGGAATCACTCACAATTCGTTTCAAGGTGGTGGTGTAGAGTCATTATTTCTGAAAGGGGATTCTATTTCATTCTCACAGGCTTGGGCAGGAATTCAGTTGTAAGGAACTGCTGTGTTACAATAATGTTTAGCTGTTGTAGAAAATGAAACAGGAAAAATAAACACTAGAGCCCTTGCTACCACCCTCCTTCCTCCACCCCGCCCCCCGGCAAAGGCCACTAAGCTCTGAAATTTCTGAAAACCAGTATGTACTTGAAAATGGTTAAGTAGAAATAGTGACTATTTATCTTGTAAAAGGTCTCGCAAAGAGCCTTTTTAAATAATAGTACCAAAAATCCAACTTGGGCAGTTTAACTCATTTCTTGTAGACATTGGCAGCTTTCTTTGATTTATTAAGATATAACATGCCTTCAAACAGTCCTCCAATTGACATATTTCGGCTTTTTTTCTGGAGAAAAGTGGAAATTGAGAATAGTATAAAAAAAATGTTGGAGTAGGAAAGGAACATGTGCCAGGGGTCAAAAGGCCTGAGTGACTTTGGCCAGGTCATTTCCCTACTCTGGGTGGCTTCAGTTTATCCCTCTAGAAAATGAGATTGGGGCCAGTAAGTTTGCACTGGTGATTGCTAAGTTTTCTTCCGTCTAGCATCCCATTATTCTAGTGTCTTGACTTGAAATCTCCCAGTCACAGCTTTAGGAAATCACCTCTTCTGCCCGTTCTCTTACCAAGTTTTTCACTGTAAATGTGAGGAGCAGTTCAATCTCTCAGGGTTTGCATGTGGAACTGGCCGTGAAGGCCAGCTTCCTATCAGGGAAGTCGAGCATGCTGTGAGTGTGCTCTCTTCCCTGATATAGCATGTCCAGTCGTGCATATCAACTATGCGGGATTCTTTGGGACAGTGACACATTGCTGTGGCTGAAAGTCCTTTAACAGAGTTGGATCTTGCAAAGCTGTCCCAATTTGTAACCATATGTAAATGGTGACTTTTACTGGCCTAAGCTGCTTTTAGATGCAAGGGATGCTTGTTTGGATGTCACAGCATTTATTGAGCACCTGCTGTCTGCAAGACACCATCATAGTATAAAAACTACTCATGACTCACTAATCCAGCCACATGGAAGTGATAATTCATCAGAATAAAAAGCAGTTCTCGTTATTTTTCTCCATGAAAAGGCCTGAATTAATTGACACTGGTTTCCTATCAGCTTACTTTTTTCTTTAAGAATTTAAGGAATAAACTCAAATTCAGAAGCCTCCCGAGAACATTTGTGCAACATCTGTTTCAGTGTCAACAGCCCCAAGTCATTTACACAGGCATTCGGTTTCTGTTAGGTTTTCGAACAGTTTCCCCAGTCAACCCTGGTACCAACATTCTTAAATAAAAACATATTCTTCACATCTCAGCTGCTGTTGCCATCTTCACTTAACTATTCTGCCTCCAACCTGTATTAGAAAATCAGCAGAAGTACGCAGCTGCTTCTGTGTGGTTCTGCCTTGTGAGAATTTCTGCATCTCTCTCCACTTCTCTTTGTGGAGCAGATGTGAGTAATGCAGTAATTAGAAATCTATGTTCAGAAATAAGGTATTTCAGAGAGTTACCATCCTACTATGGTACCTGTTATCAATGGAAAAATAGTGTGTGCCATATACTATTACCACGGTCCCTCTCCTGCTTCTCTAAATTCGTAACTCCTACACGTGTGAAAATGTCATGTCACTCAACCTTCAAAAACCTTGGGGGACTCTGTCTTTGAAGGAAAGTCAAAACTGTTCTGATGTGCATCACCACCCTCCCCCTCAAATCTCAAATTTCTCCTTATGCTCCTACATGGGCAGTCCCCCCACCTAATGCTGTCTACCCTGGGGCTCTTTCACACACCTTCTTTCGTCTTCACCTGACGAAAGGCTTGGTTCTTCTTTGCATCTGGAATGCTTCCTGTCTACTTGCAAACCCTCCCTTCAAGTAAGGGACCTCCCCCCACTCTCTTTGCCGTGGGATCTCTCCTTGCTGAGTCCGGACCACTGGCCTTCAGTGGGGACTTGGTTTACGATACACTCCCAGTGTGATGCTAGTGTCCTCTTTGTGGGTGTCTTGTTCTGCGGCTCATTAGTGAATGCCTGGAACTTTTTGGCCTGCACCTTCCTTCTCGCTCTCCAGTGCATTGGAACGGGGAGAAGCCCACTAATCTGGCAGAGGCTGTTTCCACAGAATTGGCATCTCTGACTTTAATTTGCTTCCCATCAGGTAAGGCACTTGTATATCTGCGATTTCCACAAAAATTTCATCCAAAGTGTACGAAATAAAAGGAAGAGGAAGACAAGTGACGATGGTGGAGATTCTCCTGAGCACGACACTGATGTTCCTGAGGTAATGGTCAAAAACATCCACCTGAAAAAGCTGGGAGAAGGGGTTCTAATCTGATCCTTACCCCCGGCCTGGTCTGCTTTTTGTGCTAAGAAGTCATTTTAGTCCCCTTGTTTTGCTGTAGTTTATTTGAAATGTGAATCACAGAATCAGAGTAACACTGACTCTGAGAGCTGAACACTTAGAAATCGACTGGTCTGACCCCCATCGTTTTACAGACGGGTGGGCGCAGGGACCCGAGGTCACACATACAGTTTGGAGGCTCGTCCAGTACCCTTTTCAATAGGCCGCACTGCTTTTCTTCAGGAAAACCCTGGCAAATGATTAAATATAACCATAGTGCCAAGTTTTTCAAAAACTTTGTTTTTGTCTTTAAAGTTGGAGACTGAGTTTATATGGTTTGGGGGAAGTCACTTCCCCTCTGTTTTCTAGCCTGCAAAATGAAGGTATAAGTTGTCAGTTCATACTAGCTCTGATTTTCTGTCACTCTCTGATTTCTGGTCCAGGCTTGTTCCCAAGGATCCATTCCCAAGTCAGTTGTACTGGTCCAGGGGTTCTCAACCCTGGCACTATTGACACTGAGGCCAGGTCATTCTCTGTTGTGGGGGCTGTCCTGTGAATTGTAGGATGTTTAGCAGCATCCCTGTATTTTGTCCACAGGATGCTAGTCACACCACTCCCTGAGTCATGTGACCAAAAATGTCTCCAGACCTTGCCAAATGTCCCTAGGGTCAGGGTGGAGGACAAAATCATCCCATGTTGAGACCCTCTGCACTAGACAATGAGACCTAGGCTTCTCAGACCAGAAAACCTTTCCTTCAAGGTGCCAGAGTCTGTTAAACAAGGCTACAGGAAGGAATATTGGATTTTTTCTACTTAAATTGTTTTCACTTAAGACTCAGCAAAGAAGAACCATTTATAGTGTACATGGAATATTTGATGCATGAATATTTCACAAGGCAGCTGCCTCTTAGCACTCAGTGAAAATGACTGTAGGAATGGAACGAGTAGGCGGGCTTTTGTCTGCAGATGAGGAAACCTTTGAAAATAGTCCTTTCCCTCCACCCCTCCCTGTGTCCCCTTTTTTAGCATTGGTTTAATGTATCTTTCAATTGCCTCTAGCATTATTATATTTTATAAAGAAATGGATGTATTCAATTTTTAAATGCTTTTCACAAAATAAAATTTAAAAAAAAGGTTTGAGGAATGTTTTGAAAAGAATGAAGGACTTTGGTCCCTCATATTGATCATTCATTTTGTTTTTAAGTGCTCTCCACCTGCCTGAAGCAAGAACATCTCTTTTAGAGGCAGGTAAAGGCAGCCCAACTTTCTGGGCCTTCAATGTTTCATGACTGTGCAGCTTTCCTCTCTTCCTGTGTTAGAAGAAAGGGGGGTCCTTTCCCCTCTGTTATCCAGTCATCTGCAAAGACCCTGACCCTAACCGGCTGATGTGTACACTCACCACAGTAGCTTTGGAGCTTTCTCTGGAGGGTTAAGGATTCTAATACCTGAAGGCTGAACCTAGGAACGAACTATTTGAGAATAATAGTACTTTCCACAGTTCTTCATGCTTCTCTATCCAGTCTGCTGCCAAGCTCTGACCTTCCTTCCTTCAGGATGTCTGTCTGGTTTTGTCTTTGCTCTCCATGCCTGGTGTCCCCGTCTAGCATCACCACCCCTCCAAAGCTCCGCTTATCATCTCACTTCTGGATCGTTGCTACAGCATCTCCCTCTATCTGCCTCCACCCATCAAACCACCACTAGATCCATCTTCCTGGAACATCACCTGGCATGCTACCACCCAGGCTCACTGTTTAACCCCATCAGGATTGCCTATGACCCCCTGGCGCATCCATTCATCTCCTGGCTTTCTGTGCTCATGATCTTCTCCCTCATTTCCTACTCTTTCTCTGTTCCTCACTGCCTTTCTAAACCCTGCCTCTCCTTAGCTTAGCTTCACTTGCCTCCACCAGCCTTCTGAGACCACCCTGTCCCAGCCAGAACTCTTTATCCACTGTTATTTTTGCCCTCCCAGCTAGTTATTAGTCCTCAGTGGACCATTCCTAAGACTCTTTTGTGGTCCTCTCCACCCACACCCCTACCTAGTGTAGTGCTAGGCACATAGTGGGCTCTCGGTAAGTCGTGGCTGATCAAGTGATGAATAATGTGTTTCTCTTCTTTCCAGGTTGATCTGTTTCAGCTCCAGGTGAACACTCTACGACGTTATAAACGACACTACAAATTACAGACCAGACCAGGCTTCAATAAGGCCCAGTTAGCAGAAGTAGGTGAACAAAATTGCACTCTAAAAAGAGAGAGCCAGAATTGTGCTTCCGATGGTGACCTTGATTCTCCCTACTGCTCTGTGTGCCTGTTGATCATAATCCCCTCCATAGCTCTGGAAGCCACTTTTTATTCCTTCTTTTGCACAATTTAGAATCCCACAGCTCTAGACCTGGAAAGGCTCTGATTTTCATAAAAGAAACCGTGGCATAAGGAGAGGTAAAGACTTCCTTAAACTCACACAGCAAATCGGTGTGATTCCAGAATTGAGCCTGGAACCTCCGGACTCCTGATTCTAAGTCCTGAGTGTTTGTTTGAAACTTGTTTTACAAGATTCTTTATAAATATGTTGCTTCCTGCATATCAGGTGTGTCAGATTAATCATCCCAGAGCCTTCACTCATGTTCAGATTAATCATCCCAGAATCTTTACTCATGTTCTGTCGGAGCTATTTTTTTCCTCTGTTTTTTTCCCCTTGATTTCTTCTACTCTGATGTTAGTAATGGAAATATTACAATGAATGGAGCCAAGAAAATTTTCTCCTGCCTTGAGTTCTTAACATAGTTTAGAGGGTGTGAAATGCTCCATTGGCCATTATTTTAATATACTGATAGCCTGGCTTGATACTTCTGTCCTGTTGGCACTAGTGTGGGTACCCTCTTATCCTCTTTTCTGCCTATTGTAGAAAATTTGGAAAATGGAGAAAAGAAAAATACAATCCTACCATCCAGAGATAACCACTCTGTAGTTCTTTCTCTGACTCTTCTTTCTGTCCTAGCCTCTTGGTCTATTCAGAGATTCTTTAAAGGCTCATGGCCCATTGGTTTTTGTCTTTCCTTTAGCGGTATCTTACTGATCCATCATTTTTTCTTAAACCTCTCCATTACCAGCATCCAAATAAAACATAGGAGCACACAAGCCTTTCCTACTTTAAGACTGCATTACCCATTTGCTAGTATTCACCCCTGGTGGAAGGGATAGGATGAGGTGGGACAAGGGGAAACGTGTTCTTAGGACTTATAAAATACAGCAAAGTTTCACGAATACAGAGTAAATGGTGGATTTTTCTTCAAATTTGGTGTATCTTTCAAGATGAATTCTTAGATCACACAGATCTATTCAATTTGACATAATTTTTAAAAATATAATTTTCTACCAAGTTCCAGGGCCTGAGAGGTTATGGTAGCAGCTGGCCAACCAGAGCAGTCCCAGTCTCTTCCTCCATGGGGATGACCTTGAGATCCTGCCATCATGGGCAGTTGGCTGCCACTAAAATAGAATTACAACTTGGGAATGTTGAGGGTTAAAGTCCTGCTTTTGGGAGCCTGGAAAACCCAGTCACCTAAACCCCAGGGAAAGAGAGGCAGTCTGAGTTCTGCAGCTCTGCAGGGAGTTCTGTAGTGATCGTAACCCCTCTTTAGCTCTGGCAGCACCTTCCTGGTTCCTCTTTTGCAAAATTTAGAATCCGTGGCCCTGATTTATGCATGTTTTGTGTGTGTGTGTTTTCTTTTTTGCCCCCGTGTAGACTGTCAGTCGACACTTCAGGAACATACCTGTGAATGAAAAGGAGACCCTTGCCTACTTTATCTACATGGTGAAGAGTAACAAGAGCAGACTGGACCAGAAATCAGAGGGCAGCAAGCAGCTTGAGTGAGGATGAAGCCCATCTGCCAGGAATGAAGTATAATGCTTAATGCACAGGTGATACCTGCTACATTTAAGCCCATAAAGACTTTTAAGTTTTATTATAAATAAAAATGTTTGAATGATAAATACTGTAAATGTTTTTGGTCAGGAGGATTATATTCTTCTGATTCAGCATGTGTATAAAAAGACTTTCTTTTAAGGCAACTACTGGGCTGAAAAAACAAGATCATAAAAAGAATTAAGAAAAGCTATGTATTGCAGCATTCAAAAAAGCATTAAGTCAGTGCTACTGGAAATGAGGAATAACAAATATTTTGGTTGTCGCCTCGTAATCCCACGCTGCCACATGTGAGATGTAGCCCTGTAATAGCAGCAGGTGATGGTGGAGGTGCATGAGCAGATCCAAGTGTGCTGGGGATGTGGATGCCCCACCATGCTGCAGGCTTTGTTGCTTATCAGCGAATCAGTTTGACCCTGGTCCCCCTCACTGGTCCTGCACCTTATACACATAGGCACTCAATCAGTATTTGTTGGCTAATTGAGCTGTCACTAGAATTGCCAGCCTTGTAACATCTGCTTCACGCCTCCAGTTAATGAGATCTCTGCCATTTCTGTGGTTTACCACTTAACTTCTAGACTGTGGAGGAAATCCTGATGAGCCAACAAGAGGTTTCAGATCAAACGAGTACTTCAGGACGGTCGCATGTGCCACGCTGTCTTGTGGAGGTTCCAGAAGCACGGATGCAGAGACCCTCGCAGGAGACGTGGCCCTTTGCACACCCCTCTACGTGCCACTCTTTGGGGTGAAGTTATGTATTATAACTTCAGCCATTCTCCTGGGCCATAAATGCTTTGGCAAACGGAGATACTTAGTGGTTTGGGACTCATATTTTCAGAAGTACTAATCCATAGTTCACAACCACCAAGAAAGCTGCCAAGGACCATGGGATTCCTGCTCAGAAGTCCAGCACTGAGATAGAAAATCTGCCTGGCCTTGACACCCTGGGCTTGGGGGTCAGCAACAAATCACGGGTTTGAGCAACAAAGGTCGGTGCCATCTGATGCTCATTTTTACAAGCAATTTGCCTCTCTTTTAGGAAGAAAGATTGCTAAAATGATTTTTTTAAGTATTAATAATTACGTGATTATTTTTTTTACGTTCAAAAACTCAGCTTGCTCTATCTAATTATGTCACAGCCAAAGTATCCTTTGAAAACAAAGCTTTATATCCAAAAGTCTGCTTTTCCAAAATTTTCTAATCAGTGTGCTGGGGGCATAAGGTGCGGACAGGGAATGGGAAAGAGAAAAATGATGTGGACTCTAGTTTCTGACCATCTCGACGTGCACTGTGGTCAAAGGTATCACTTTCTTACTCGGTTTTAAATTTGAGTTCTTTCTGAAGCCTTAAATGCTAAAGGAGCAGTGGACAGCCTGGCCCGGCAGAGAGTGTTAATGTCTCACAGATGGCTTGATCTGAGTGCCACCACAGAGAAGTCAGGATGAAAATCCCCACCGAGCAGGGCAGTGGGTTCGGGTCTGTGAAGCAGAGTGCCACACTTTCTGTGGACTGGGGACAGGGCCACCATTCACTAAAACAGTGTGTTCCATTGCAGCAAAGCTTTCACCAGTGTTCAAAATGCATGTCTAGCAGATTGCAGCCTTTTCAAATATGTGTAAATGAATGTACATAGAACATACTCTAGACTACGAGGGGTCTTATTTTAATACACCGGGCTGTGGGTGGCACATCAGGGTGCTCTGAGTGTGTTAGTCATTCAGATCCAGTATGTATTTAGACATTGTCTCACTACTTATAGCTGGAGGATTAAGAAGGCTCAAAAGTGTGTGGCTTATGTAGGTTTTATTCCTGAGAAGCTGAATTAGAAAGGCTTTGGTGGTGTCCAACACCAAGCTCCCTTTGCAGGGGGCATTTTTTCTCATCAGACTGGAGTTTGGGTGCAGCTGGGCCTGTAGGTTAGGGCATTGGAAACCTGCTCTCTGGAAATGTCCCTATCTTATTGAGAAAGAAGGTGTATCTTTTGATGTTTAAACCAATGATGGATGTGTAGGTCATGTCACTGTTTTTCTAACAGTGAATCTGTTTTCCCAGTTGAGAGAGACAGTGGTACATTTCTGTGAGAACGTGGGTTAGGATCCATCTGTTCCAGTGTGTCTATAAGAATGCTTTTGTTCCAAAGTGAAGCCTGGGGAAACTTTCCCCCTTCAGCTAGATGCTGTGTGCACTTCATCACATGCCGTTTTTCCTCTAAAGAGAGCTGCTTTTGGAAAGGGGAGATTGTGGGTATTTTTTCCACCTTTGTAGACATGTTGGGTGAGAGAAAAGACAAAGCTGTCCGAATCTACTTTTGTCCTGTGTGCAGAAGTCCGTTCTGTCATCAGACCACTAAACCACTTGCCTTAGTCTCTTCTGCAGTTTTCGTGGCTTAATCATGGGCAGGAGGCTCTGCCTGTGGAAATGGCCGGGCCCTGCAAAGCAGCTTCAGGGAGCATCGGGGTCTGGGAAAGCGGTGTTCATCTTGGCTGCCTGCATTTTTATGCCACCTGTCAAGGACTTTTGTGCTTCTCTCCACCTGTAACATTGCAACATTGCCTTCTCTTCTCTTGGTGCTCCTGGGCAAAACTGGAATTGGAAACAGAACTGGTATTGTTTTCTTAAATTCTGCCTCAGTTCCGGCCTGGTGTGGTTCTTCAGATGCCCTGAAGGTTGTCACGTGGAAATGCCAATATCCTGCTATTCATGTTGCTTCATTTTAAGGTTTTTAAAAAACAAATGGACAAACTTCTTATTTCAACGAACAAACTCTTAGGTTGGCAACAGCACCTGAAAATGATCACAACTAAATCCCATGAAAGATTAAAACGAAGGACTCAAGGCTGGTGTTGTAAAATGAAGAATTTCACTTACGTGTTACAGCCGCCAAGTTGCTAGATGTTCCTGTCATGCTGAATATTCACTGCTAGCCTTCCAGAGACATATTCATAATTATTTGCAGTTGGAATGTTGCATCTAACCTTGGCATTTCAGCTGTTTTTTTGTGGGAACTTTTTTGTTAATATCCTACAGGACAACTGCCTGGTGGAAGGGAGGAGGTAGGAAAAGCAGCTTACTCTAGCTTATTGAAATAGGCTGTCCCAACCCAGACTAGCTGCTGTATGGAAACCGTCTGAAGGCTCTGTCATTACAGTGACAAGATCTAAATGTTGGGAAAGTGGCTTTCAGTCATCCCATCCAGTCTCCCCATAGGTGCTGACATTCTGCCTACAACCGTCCCACCAAGGATTTGAGCAGCCTGGGCTTAAACACCTCTGAGGACAGAGAACTCACTACCTCCTGGGGGTATCTGGTTCTATCTTTGTAAACCTCTGGTTTTCTCTGTTTTCTGTGACTTCCATTTATGTGTCTGCTCAGTGGGGGCCACATGGAAGAAGTTGCTCATCTTGGCCAAGGACTTAATTGCTAGCACTGTCCCAGGGCATAGCAAGTGTCTTTTGAAAAGGAGCAGCTAGCAGCGAGACACCAGCATCCTGACTCTCTACCCCCTGAGTACTGGTGCATTTTCCTTGTTGGAGAATGTGGAGGAAACCCCATCCGCCTGGTTGTGCTCACTTGTTCTTGCTGAAGCTGATCGAGGGTGTTAGCAGAGGTGGTTATACTATTGGCCTTATGAAAAACAACCAAGACAGAGGAGGCCTTAGTTCTGTGTTTGTCCCACAAAAACTGATGTTCACATCACTTAGGAAGAACCTTGGCTAGAAAATCTTAAAATGTTGCTCTATGTGGAGTTGAAAGTTTCCATGGCTGCTGAGGGCTTGTACCTTAAGATTCCTGCAAGCATTTCTCACACTGTTTTTACCAAGAAAACAGAACTTAGGGACTTGAGGGAGTGGGGGAACCATATTCCTCAGTATCAGAGAAGTGCCATATTTTCAAGCTAGAAAGTCCTATAAGGTTGCTATTGTCTAATTCACTTTTAGAGATGGGGAAACCCAAAAAAACTTGCCTAAGTTGCATGGCATTCTCTGGACTAACCTCTCATCCTGTAGCATGACTCTAATCTGGCCTAAAGTGACCTCCCTCAGATTCTTGAGACGTTGCCACTGAGTAGAGGTTCCCAAGACCAACCTGCAGAACTCAGGGTTGAGTGAATGATTCAGAAAGCAGTCAGTTGAGTTTTGCAAAATGAATGGGAAGGACAAACAGAACTGGCCTATAATTTAAGACCAGGGTTCAAAAGTCCTGGCGGGAGATCTGCTCATGAAGTGGTCTTGCTCTGTGATCTGTTGGTCAGACTTCTGCCTTTCAGTCATTCTTGGAGCTTGTGTGATTCAGTTGGCCCCAACTGGACAGACAGCACTGTGGCCTTGTGACTGGCAGCCTGATACTGAGCTAACCAGTTGAACTGAAGGACAGTGAGCTCAAGAACATGCCCTGGGAAGCATGGTGCTTTAGGGGTGCCTTTTAATTCCTTTCATTTAATTACCAACTGTTTCCAGGTTCATAGTTAGGAAAGGTAAAGGTGATCTGATGTTTTCAGGTCGGCTGGGGCAAGGTGGGGCCTTTTCTTAAGGTAGAAATGTCTACAATCAGTTATTTCATCCAGCTTGCATCTTAAAACACAAACCTTCGGTTGCTTTCATTTAATGAACACGTCTTTGCCAATGACAGTGCTGTACAGGATCCCTGTTTTACATTTCTATTATCCGTTATGCCCATCAGAGTGTTGGGGGTGTGGGTTTTCTTTCCATTTTGTAACTGCCTTATTGAAAAGCAAGTGCCCTTCCATTTCAGGCCTCCTCATATTGTACGTTTCCTGCCAAACGTGGGGGATCATTTGTATTTTAATTTTGTAATCTATGGCTCTGTACTGTTGAAAGGCTCTCAATTCTGTGGGGTCTCCTTAGTAATGTATGAGACTTTTCATGTTGCAATATCACACAGATGGGACAGCCCGACTTTCGCTCTTAATAAACGGTCTGAATGAGTAACGAGAGACATACTCTGTTGTTCTCTTTGAATGTCCACGTGGAATTTGGTGCTTTTAATTTCTCATTGGGGCCCTGGCTGCGTAGTACAGTGATTAATGACAGCAGTCTTTCCTCCCGGCTCCAAGTACTAGCTCCTTCACTCCCCGGTTCAGTCCCAGTGCTCACCGAGGGAGTGTCGATCAGAACAGAAGTTTGGGCCCTGGGGGCTAGACCTGCTCTCCCACACACACACGGAAAGAGACTGTGGTCCAGCGCCTGAATCTGAAGCCTGGATGCTGCATAGCATACCAGACACCCTGGCAAATAGCTTCCCTCTCTGGGTCTTCAGTTATCCATCCGTAAAATGAGTGTCCTAAGTAAACCAGATAAAGAATTGCAAACTGGAAAACTCAGGTCCCTTCTCAGGGCAGCCACTACTCAGCTCCAGCCTGTTGTTGTCATGTGGGAATGGCCAGTTCTATGTGGCAGTTCTTGCAGTTTGACAAGAGCTGGAAATACAGACCTTTATGTAAATATCCCAATGTTTGAAAGCCCCAAAAATTTATTTTTAACAGTTGGCACCTCACCTGAGTGCTTATTAGAAATCTCTGCCACTCTCACCTGCCAGGCCATCTACTGAATCAGAATCGGCCTTTTAACAGTCCCCAGGCATGATGGGGACTGAGCTTTACCGGTGGAGGTCCCTGGGGCCCTATAGGAAGAAGCTCCTGGCCCAGCCAAGCCCCAGACTTGGGTTTTTCACTTCAAATCTGTCACTAGTGCCACTTCAGCACACTTCTGACCTCAGCAGAATGAAAGGACAGAAATACAATGTCTTTTTATCGTATTAGCTAGAATACATCCTAGCTCTAAAACTGTAAACAGCACCAAAATTTACCAGGTGTTTCCCCCCCTTATCACCCTCCCATTCTACTCCCCTGTCAGTGGGGTGGAGGGTGACTTCGGGAAGCATTTGGGGGCAAGGGGATGGGGAGTTTTGGCTCTCATTGGGATTGATGATGGGTTGTTGCTGAAGGCTGCCACCACTTAGAGGATCCCTAAGTTGATTTCCTTCAGAAAGCAAAGGAAGTTCAATTTTCATAGCATGCTCCTCTTCATTTGCACTAAAATGTAAGTCATTGCTTCCCTCCTGTCTGCTGCCCTCCCATTTCTTTCATGTCTAACCACCAAGGGCTGCCCCTGTCCCCTAACCCATCACACACTGAGCCTCCGAGAGGTGCTTTGTCCCCAAGCTTCCCCAAACAGGCTGACCCTTGCGGAAGCCAGCCTCCTTTGAGGATCCAAAGACATCAGCTGTCATGGAAGGATCAACCCACATCTTAATGTACCATTAGAACAGAAGTTTCACCAGGAGCCAGACCCCCTTTTTTTAAAAATAGACCTTTAGAATATTGAGTATCAGAGCATCTGATGTTCAGTGTTTTTGAAAGTGTGGCACTTGCCAGCCCCACCCCCATCAGAATCTCCTGTTATAGGAGATTCTGTTACAATGCCACTTCCTGGGCCCCATCTTAGATTCTCAGAATGGAAAGTTCAGAGGCTGAATTCCAGGAATACAAATTTAATTTCCCCAGGTAAGACTCAAGCCCAAGAAATTAAGCACTAATCAGGTCCAGAGGTTTCCCAACCCAGCAGCTTCAACCTCATCTGGATTCTGGTTAAAAGTTCCCAATGAGACCTACTGAATGAGAATCTCCTAAATGGGGCCCAGAAAACTATTTTTACACAATCTGGGGAATTTGTACACACTTCCAGGTTTAGAAAGCACTGAGCCCAAACCCCTAAGGCCCAAATAGCTACGTTCAACCTCAAACAGCTCAGAAGTGTCAGCGCCTGAGCAAACAGAATAACGTGCACAGCCACAAGGACACAAGATGAATCATTCACATGGATGATCTTCAGTCTGCATAAAACCAGAGGGAAAGTAATCCACAGTGTCTAGTACAGCGCCTGGCATGCAGGGGGGCACATTTAATGTCTGAATTGAATCTTCCATTCATGTAACAGTTTTTTAGTTTATAAGTGTCTTTCATATCCAGAAATAATAAGAGCTGTAAGTGTAGTGTGCATGCCAGACAGGTTACTAGTTTTACAGTTCGCACTGATTCGCTCAGTCTCACTACAATCATATAAAGTAGGAACTGTTATTAACTCCAATTCACAGAGGTGTGAATGCAGAGAGGCCGAGGATCTTGACCAAGTAACAAGGAGAGCTAGAGGCACTCCCAAGATTGGGACACTTGTCAACCCTCCTCCCCCATCAAAGAATTCAGGAATGTCACGCTTTGAAGCAGTGCAGCCACAACAGTCACCCTTGTCCCCCCATCAATTGGATTTACTGAACTTTAATGAGGGACTCCTAGAAGCCACTAAGACTATAGTTAGGAAATTTAATAGGGTTTAATGGAGGTTAACAAGGTACATCCAACTTCCCAGCCAGGTTTTAACTTACCAGAGCTGAACAGAGATTAACAAGCCCAGGAGGTGTAAAGGCACCTGCGTGATTTAATGGGGTTAATGAAACTGTCAGAGGTTGGCCGAGAGGGACAGAGCGGGAGCATGCCGCTGTTAACCAGTCAATCTGGTTGAAGTCAACAGACATTTATGAAACAGCTGAAGCCTGCCCTGTCCTGCCCTGGGCACCACAAGGGTAGCAGATAACACAGGGTCAAAACCAACATGCCAACCATGGCTAGTCCTGTGTTTTTTGGTATTGTCTAAACTGTTTACACTAGCCCGGCCGGACATGGCTCAGCGGTTGAGCGCCAACCTAGGATCCAGGCGATCGGGGTTCAATTCCCGGTCAGGGCACATGCCAGGGTTGCGGGCTGCAGCCAATCAATGACTCTCATCATTGATGTTTCCCTCTCTCTCTCCCTCCCCTTTCCTCTCTCTGAAATCAATAAAGATATATTTTTAAAAGTAAGTAAATAAAAAAATAAATTGTTTACACTAAATTGTTCACCAAATCTATGAAACAGCAAAGCAATTTTTTTAAGTGCCTTCAAAACACATACTTTTTGCTTGCATAGTTTAAGTTACATATTCCTAAACCCGGTAGAAAATAGTAAGAGAAACAATAATACAATCTTAAATTCAGGCAGCACTTGTTGTGAAGGTCCATCGCCCATCATCTCCATGGGTGTTGTCACACACTATGAAGCAGTGATACACAGGTCACACTGATGAGTGGAGAAGCCAAAGCAAATCCTCTTCTTCTGTTTCCCAGATGGGTGCTGCGTTTTCACTGAGCACTTACTATGCAATAGGTCCAGTGTTAAGGACTTCACATGCCTTAGGACCCTATGAATTCGATTATTCTCTCTATATTACAGACAAGAAAACAGAAGTTTAAAAGGTGAAACGGCTTGTCCAAGGTCACCAGAAGGTGGCAGGCCTAAGGGTCAAACACGGATCTATCTGACCCCAGAATCCACTGTGCCCTGCTGCCTACTAACTGGATAAGGTGATATCTCATCGGAAGAAGTGGAAACAACCTACATGTCAAATAATAGGGGACTGGTTTTTAAAAGATTATACTTTTATATTATATACTTATAATAATATATGTAAATTACATATTATCATAAATATATGATATACATTATTATAAGTATATATGTCAAAATTGTAAAATAACATTTTTATTTCAGAAATACTAGATATACTATATATGTATATAAATTTTATCAGTGTACACAATGTGGACATGCATAGTTCTATATTGTACATATACATACTAATATACACACACAGAGCTGTATTTAACGTGACTATGGCGATAACTGTAGGCATATCAAAGCACCTGTTGACCAGCTCCGTCATATAGTACAGCCATATTATATCTGTATCTATAGGATTCAGAGTAAGGGTAAAGTAGGAAGAAAAAGGCTTTCTGAAAATCAAGGGAGCTTCCTGGAAGAAGCGGCTCCTAAGCGGGCCTAAGGAAATGGAAGGTTAGGGAAGCGCCGGAGGCGAGGGAAGTCCATGCGGAGCAGAGCGCCGCAGGCGCCGAGCGAGGAGCTGGAGCTTGGGAGTCACCAAACCAGACAACGAAATGTGGTCCAGAAAACGCGTGTCTGCTGTGTGCCGGCGGCCTGAGGGAGCCTGGAAACGGACTCCGCCCTCCAGGAGCCGCGAATTTCTGAAGAATTAATACCTGGACACCCGGTGGAAAGCTGTCCCCCAACCACCGCTGAAAATCCAAGGACCTGCGAGGACGTCTGGGAGCCCAGGGCGGGCGTGCGTGCGTGCGTGCGTGCGTGCGTGGTCCGTGGTGCGTGCGTCGTGCGTGCGTCGTGCGTGGCGCGTGGCGCGTGGCGCGTGCGTGCTGGGCTCGCCGTCTTAGAGAAGCCAATGAGGCTTCGCAAGCGCAATGAGCCTAGTTAAGCTAAGGTGGCTAAGGAGACGTCCTGAGGGCTCCTGGCCAGCAGCAAGCGTGGGCTCTGCACGAGCCCCGGGAGGACGCCCGTCCCCAACCACACTCCTCCGAGGCTCCTGCTTAGAAGGTGCAGGAGCGGACCAGGCTGCAGGGGGTGCGGTCAGCTGGCCAGGGGTGAGACTCAGCCGTGTAAGAAAGCAACAGCCCAAAGCTGGAACTGTATCTGAGGAAGCTTAGCGAAGCCCTGAGAATGAGGGCCGAGGGAGGACAAGACCCCAGCCTGCCGAGAGGGTTTATCTCAACTAGACGAGCTTGAACTTGGCTGAGCCAATTGCACAGTTCCAAGGAGGCTCCACCATCTTCAATGGTAAGGGTGTTTTATTTCTGGTTCCTCATACCATTTTCAGATGGCATTCTGTTCATGTTGCGCTCCAGGAATGTTTCCAAAGCTGAATGTTAAAAAGTGGTCAGGGTGACATACCTGCAGAAATAATAGCTGTTGTTTGTTAAACACCTACTAGGTGCTTGGCGCTCTGCTAGAATATTTGTTCTGTTCTATTACTGTTTCTGGCAATAATCCTCACACAAGCCTACGAAGAAGCAATTACCTTTAGTTTTCAGGCGGG